AAAAGGATGCCTCCACCTCCATGTGTCAACTATTTCTGTCCCATGCATCTTTCTGAACGTGTTAGTTTAATTTGATTGATATTCAACTAGTTTTGCATTGCTGTGGTGATGTTGTATTCTTGTTCAATGGTTTTTCTACCAAACTCACTGTCCGCTACATGTTTGAAATATTTCAGGGGCGAACGAATTTGCACCTAACTCATGTTACTTTCAGTCCTAATGGCGAAGAAGTTTTGCTCAGTTACAGTGGGGAGCATGTGTACCTGATGAATGTAAATAATGGTATTTGCAGTTAATAATGCTTCCTGCTTTAAGCTTAAATTCTGTGAATAGTTTTTTTCTGCTTTGGTTTAAGCTCAATATCTGTTGATTCTTTCCTTTGTTTGCTTATTGTAGGCACTGGAACCGTGCAATACACACCAGGAGATGTAGCTAACTTGTTTTCTTTCAGTAACATCCTCCACGACGTAGAATCTCCACCTAAGGTTTCCATCACACCTCGAAATGGCTATTACAAAAATAGCAACGCTGCAACGGTTCGGATCTCTCCCCTCCCTTTGTGATTGTTCCAGAAAGTGGCCTTGTCATTCCATTTTTTAGTGCATCTCTAACTCCGTTCTTTTCAGGTAAAGAAGTGCACCGAATTGGTAGAAATTGCTAAAAGGTCTTTAGAAGAGGGTACAGATGTTTTCTATGCAATCGAGGCAGCTAATGAAGTTCTGGATGCGCATTCTAATGATATAGAGTCTGCGCTAAGGCATGAATGCCTTTGTACTCGTGCTGCATTGTTGCTCAAGGTCCTTTAGTACTGTGTCTATTACTAACTTCAGTCCCTACATTCGTTCTCTCTGATAACCTCAATCAGCTGAATCATTTATTTTCCAGAGGAAGTGGAAGAATGATGCTCATATGGCGGTAAGAGATTGCCAAAATGCTCGAAGAATTGATGCTTCATCTTTTAAAGCTCATGTTTACATGTCTGAAGCTTTGCAGCAAGTAAATTCATAGCTTTGATCTCAGTTACAAATTTTGGTTTATAATTTAACATTCATGTATGGTCCTGCAATATGCCTTTATTTTAGTCTTGCTTCCTTTTCTTACACATTTGTGCTTCCGCACAGTTGGGAAGATGTAAAGAAGCACTCGATTTTGCGACTGCTGCACAAAAATTGAAGCCATCAGATCCCGATATAGTGGCAAAGGTGGAGAGTATTAAATGGGATCTTCAAGCAGGTTTGTGACCACTAACGTATGTCTTTTCTGGCAGATGAACTGCTTAGTTTGGAAGATGTTTCTGCTTAATTGTTTGTTTTTTCTTTTTGATGAATTATAAACATTCGTTTCTAGTAGTCAATGAGGACAGTATATAAAAGCTTGCATGGGCAAAGAAATTTCTTTCAACATTTGATATTCTTGAACTTGTCTTTTTGATTGACAAATCAGCTGGAGCTGAAAAAAATGAAGAACAAGGAGGTGGAACCGCTAGAGTACTTTCGTTGAGCGACATACTATATAGATCAGAGGCCAACAGTGACAGTTCACATGATATGTCGAGATCCGAAAGAGAAGATTCTGATTATGATGAGGAACTGGAAGTTGATATCCAAACTTCCATGTCAGATGACGAAGGAAGAGATCCAGACTCAAATGCTGTGCGTGGCAGTCTAAATCTACGAATTCATAGAGTAAATGATGATGATAAGCCCGTGGAAAATACCTGTGATAATGCCTCCTCAGGAACTGCATCGTCATCTCAAAATGATAGAACCTCTTATCAGGTTAGTTTTCAGATTGTGATTAGACAAAGTTACCAGACTGAATGTGCTTCGTACTCTTCGATAATCTAATGGTTACTATCTACACCACTGGTGTCTTGGTGACTACAGCCAGAGGGAGCCATAGATATGAAGCGTAGATATGTAGGCCACTGCAACGTTGGAACTGATATTAAGCAAGCCAGTTTTCTCGGTCAGAGAGGTAGGTTTGGTCCGGTTGACTTTAAACTTTGATAACGGGAATATTGACTTTCTGTAAACATTTCAGGTGAATATATTGCGAGTGGAAGCGATGATGGTAAGTGGTTTATATGGGAGAAACAAACAGGAAGGCTTATGAAAGTGCTTGTTGGCGATGAAGCAGGTTTTTTTTTTTTTTTTCACTTTATTTCCATTACGTTAGTCTCGAATTTCATTAGTTGGCTAAACAATTAATCTTTCTTTGTTGTCAAGTTGTGAACTGCATTCAGTGTCATCCGTTTGATAGCGTTGTAGCAACGAGTGGAATCGATAATACAATAAAGGTAAGCAAACGCACAACAGCTATCATTTTTTTTGTTTTGTATTTCATGTAAGATCTCCTAAATTAACCTGTGTATGAAGATGTGGAGCCCAATCGCATCAGTCCCATCGATTGTTGCGGGTGGATCAGCTGGACCTGCAACCTCCAATGTAGTGGAAGCAATGGAGAGTAATCAACAGAAGCTAAGCCGCAACAGAGAGAACCCTCTGTAAGTCCTTCTGTGATACTTCAGTGGCGGTTTCAGAGTTGATGAAGTTAATTTCGTGTTTTCTTGTTGTGGATTGATCCATTTGCAGGTCTGTGGAGCTTCTGCAGAGGTTTAGGATGCAAGAGTTTGCGGAAGGAAACTTTCACCCATTTGAATGTACTCAGAGCTAAAGCGGGAGGAAACTGTATAGATAAAAAGTGATGGTGAAATAACAATGGCTTTGAAGAATAAGGTTTCGAATGTAGCAAAAAGCTTTCCTCTCTGTAAAACTCGCGCACAGCTTCCTTTTAGGCTTTTTGGTGTTGTTGTACTTGTGTACAGTTTGATATTGGCTTCTTTCGACTATTAGAAATTGACCCTTTTTCAGTTTTCCCTTTGAATTTACATTTGTGTTTTAGTTTGGAGATAAGACAACACTAGTATGGTGTGTGTCCAATTTCTTATTTTAATTGAGTTTTTAGCATGAATTCGGACCATCTATACTTCAATTTTGACCAGTCCCACCAACGTGCTTCTTTGTGTATGATTATTAGAAAAATTAGTGATGTTATTAGTGATTAATTTAATACAACTTCCTAATCAATAGATCCAAAACGTTCCTTGGTGAACACAACATATATACCTTCGTATCTCCCTGCTTTGAAGAAAGTGATCCGAAAATAACGATAAGCTGTCATAATACTTTTTTGTCTTTTATTTTTGTTTAATCAATAATCATACATAATCCTTGTTGGGTTGATCACATTAGACTTTCCATTTCAAAAGTCACTCTCAAACCGCACGTCGACCATTTGTTTGTTTATTGTTTTTCTTCCTTGGTATACGTAGAAAATCAGAGATTCATAAACCAAAATGTGTAACACTAAATATATGTGCTCAGCTAAAATTGTTTATTGAGCCTCACAATATAACAAACATGTATTGAGCTTTTAAAATTCCTTCTGGTTGAAAGACTAGTTTTTCAAAAAAAAAAGGCCCCTCTATAAAGTTTCTTTATTTGTATATTTGTAAGAGATGGACACAACATTTTAAGCGATGACAACTTTATTCAGATATGAAGGCATGTGATAAAGTTTTACGCACGAAACGTGTCTTACAATAATAAAATGAGAAATTTATTAAAATACACGTTCTTAAGTGTCCCTTTTGTAAATGACGCTAAAAATGTTTTATCTATTGGATGTGAACTCCTATTTACCAATCACTTTTCAAAAGAATTATCGTTGATATTTTTCTAGTAGTTATTTAAATCTGACGTAATTGAACTTGCTATATAGTATCTCCTATTATCATAGTCTCATCAGACAACACTGGAATTGAGCCATAGGTTTGAGAAACGACGATTTTGAGCTATTGTTCCCATAGTCTTACTCAGCTGAAACTTAAAACTTTATTATAGTTTATGGAATGATTTTAAACAAAGTTTTCAATTTTTTATACGAAATGTTGGGTGGAACCACCGTAGACGATAAGGGGACAAAAGGCATTAGACCCGTTGGAGGGAATTATTGACATTATTTTAAGTGCGTTTCGAGTTTTGTCAATAATGGATACATATTCCTCTTTCTCCGACGATGTTATTCGTGAGAATTGTAGCTTTCTATCGATTAAACCAATCACAAAACAGCTCTTACATTTGGGAGTGAATGAGTCAAAACTCACGAATTAGAAAAATCAGATAGTATCCTGACTCCTGTTATATTCTTGCTACTTCCTAGATTGGTTTCCTTTGACGATTTTGAGCTATTGTTTCCAAAGTCTTCTTAACGATAGGAGGTATATTGTATTTTTGTAAACTTGTGCATGACCAAACATCTGCCATATGTAAAGACCTAATGTTGGCCAATCAATTAATGAATTCAGGGGAAACAAAACTCAAACGAAATTGTTCATAATCTTTTTATGAAGAATAAAATCTTGCAAATAATCTGCCATATGTAGATAACCAGAAGATAAAAATTCATGCATCAACACTGCAACTAAAATCTAACATTTTACAACTGCTGAATATACAATAAAAAAAACAACATAAACACAAACAAACATTTTATGTAACCATTTATGTCAAAAAGAAGATAAAAAATACAACCATTCTGAAAATATTAAAATGAGAAAATAAAAAATTGTATGGTTAGTTTTTTTCTGATTTCTAAATTTTTATTTAAAAAAACATTTCGAATGTTATAGAAAAGAGAATGTTGTCCTGTGATAGTGAGGAGTATATAACAACTTTGTTTACTCCTTGTATTCATTTTTGCACACTGAATCGCCTTCTTCACCATTTCTCTTACTTTTTCATCTCTAATGGTGAACATGAAATTGCACTTCTTCAGCTGCCAGGGTATATTCTCATGGATTCCTCTTTGCCTGAAAACTAATCAAACCTCATGGATCATCAACAGCTTTTCTTAATCCTCTTCTTCATCATCTCTTTTCACTCCAATTCCTTTTCATTTTCCGTAACAATACCAGAAAGAGACAAACCTATAATCCGATGGAGGAAGAACGGCGAATTCTGTTCGGGAAATACGAGATGGGAAGGCTTCTAGGCAAAGGAACCTTCGCGAAAGTCTATTACGGCAAGGAGATCGTCGGCGGCGAGAGCGAGAGCGTCGCCATCAAAGTCATCAACAAGGATCAAGTAATGAAGCGGCCAGGGATGATGGATCAAATCAAGCGCGAGATTTCAATCATGAAGCTCGTTCGTCATCCCAACATCGTCGAATTGAAAGAGGTCATGGCTACAAAGACGAAGATCTTCTTCGTCATGGAGTTCGTTAGAGGCGGCGAGCTTTTCGCTAAGGTCGCTAAAGGTAAGCTCCACGAGGACGCCGCTCGTAAATATTTCCAGCAATTGATCTCCGCCGTCGATTTCTGCCATAGCAGAGGCGTTTCTCATCGCGATCTGAAACCGGAGAACCTCCTTCTCGACGAGAACGGGGATCTGAAAATCTCCGATTTCGGATTGTCGGCGTTGCCGGAGCAGATTCTCCAGGACGGATTGCTTCACACCCAGTGTGGAACGCCGGCTTACGTGGCGCCGGAGGTTCTCAGGAAGAAGGGATACGACGGTGCGAAGGCGGATATCTGGTCGTGCGGCGTCGTTTTGTACGTGCTTCTCGCCGGATGTTTGCCGTTTCAGGACGAGAATCTGATGAACATGTACCGGAAGATTTTCAGGGCGGATTTTGAATTC